GCATTCTGTAAATGCAGTTCGTAACTTCTCAGTATTTTATACCTAGAATCAACGGACACTCCTCTACAATTAGTAATAATCGTCTGATTTCATTTTTAACATTTCTCTGAATGTAAAATAAAAACATAGGATAATAAATATTATCGAGAAGAATTTATTACGAAGATTGCAAACTGTTAACTGAAATTAAGAAATAAATTCATTAGACTGAATTTAGATTCACCAGAAAACGCAACCTCATTGCCGGAACTGGAAAGGGTTGCAACCCCATTGCTCTGCTTTCATTGCTATCACTATTTCTTCTCGCCAACTAAATGAAACTTCACTCGAATACTTAACGGTTAATACGGAGTACGGAACATCTTCTTGATTAAAAAATAATTCTTTTTAATTACTTTCTAATCTGGCTTGTTTCGTGTTATTCCGGTAGGATTAATGGAACTTCGTAGAGCAATAAATAATATCATTCGGTATGAATGCCACGCGTGGACTTGTTCCGAGAAATTAATATGCCGTCCTCGTTCGAAAGGAATATTTTCTGGCTGCGTACACCATTGTCACACAATGACACAGTGCTGAAAGGGGTTAACCGTGACTAAAATTTATACACCTACGCCACTTAAGGACTCCTAATTACAATCCTATGAAATTATATTTGCGAAAGAGGCGCTGCGCGTTCATGCAGATTTTATATTTAAATCACCGGCTCTACTATGTTGGCTTTATCATTTATGGCGTATTATAATTTACAACGAGCCGTCTCTTAATTTGCAAACAGAACGAGGCCGAAGGAAAATTAATCGATCAACTGGCATGCATGTAGGTCATTGCGGAACAGAATTTTGTCGAGAGCTTGACGGATGATACGACGATAGATTGATTAACCGAACGTTTTGAAAGACACGTTTCGCAAATATTTTCTTCAAATAATTCGCGTAACGTTAACGAATTTATATAATTTAAATGAATTGTTCCTTCATAAAAGATCGGAGTTATCAATCATCTTGCTTGATTCACTAACTAAGCTCCCCCGATTTATGCAATTTCGCATCCCCCCAAGCTCTCATTAAGCCGACCTTTTCTTCTCGGCGGAATTGATTACGCGAGTAGGTTCTTAGGAATCGTACATTTTTGTTTTACGCCACGAGAACGAGCGATTCATTACGTCTTAGTCTTAGAGGAACAAAAGGTGGAAATCAGGAAGTTTCCTCGTTTTCAGCAAATTAAAATTAATTTTTTTTACCCACGCGAGACCTTTCCTCGGAGATCTACCAGGAACTTTTATTATGAATGTACGTATTTCACCGGTAACCGGAACAAATGTTCCCGGGCAGTATTTTACGGGAACGAGAGAGCTAAAAAATTTCCTCGAGCTTATCATTCCTTCCCAGGACTGTTCAAGATTTCCTCTCATACATCGTATTTTACATAAATACGCAGTGTTTGAAGAACCGAAAGAGAAATTGGAAGGTAATCTGAACCACGTTGAACCGGCGGATTATCCAGTTAAAACCACCGAGGACCATAAACAATTTTATTTAGTTATTAATTACTATCGAAAAAAATTTGATATAAAAGACACTGACATCCTCTACAAGATAGATTTTATGAATTTTTCTTCTAATTTCAATATTTAACGAGTTACGTATGATTAATCGGCATTTTATGGGTGCTACCAAAATCCGAACTTCCCACCGTCGAAATAGCGAAGTTTTGGAAAAAAATTTCGTTTTTCCTTAATAACTCCTAAACTGTTGGTCGTACGGGAAAATTGCATAGAACCTTTCTTGTAGAGGACGACGAGATCTACAATTTCCATGTAAAA